GCGTACATTCCGCGATCTTTTCACCATACATGAGCAAGTCGAACCGCGAAAGATGACAATACAAGAGAAATGCAAGTACCGAAAGTCCTGCTACGAGACAGGTATTGTACCTGAGATCAATCCAAAGCTGGAGGAAGTGATCCACAAAGAGGTCAGCGCTGTCATACCCACAACCGCACAAGACTTGCGTATCCTGTGTAAGTACAGAAAATCATGCTACGCTGAAATACACGACTCAGCCACTGTGGATACTGTAAAGTTCATCAGAAAACGTCGTCAAATCGAAAAGGAAGTGCGACGGCGAAGAGCTAAACGAGCAAAGCTCCATCGACGCTTCCGCGGTGAGCTACAGCTTGACAGTTATCGACGGCACCATGGACGGAATAGAAGCAGGGAGTATGAACACCCGAAAAAACCGGAAGAGCCTGAGAAACGGGAAGAGCCAGAAGATGTTGAGGAGGTTATCGATGTGAAGATTATTCCTCCGAAGAGAGGACGAAAAGAGAAAGTCAAGGAGAAACAGGAAGAGGTCACGGAAACCCCTCCAAGCAAGACATCCAAGTACCGGAAGCCAAAACAACAGCAACAGAAAGCCGACTCTGAGGAGGAAGTCGTTGACGAACCAGTGTCGATGCCAACAACAGAAGTTGAAAAGGATGTTATTCCGCCAGCAAAGAAACCTCGGAAGGGAAAGAAAGCAAAAGCTGAAGAGCCGAAAAAGGAAAAGAAGATCGTAAAGAAGGAGGAAAAAGAGGAAGAGGAGGAACAAAAGGAAACACAAGCTGAAGAAGAACGGGCAAGATTGAAATTGATTAAGAAAAAGGATGTAGAACCTGAGCCGAAGGAAAGTTTTGCAAAGTCGAAAGAGAAGAAAGAAGAAAAGAAGAAGGAAAAGGAAAAGCAGAAACAGGAGGACGAAGACCAAGTAAAATACGCAAGACAAAGTGGTAGCAAGCAATTTGACAAGGTATCAGCAGGAGTGAAGAAAATGATCGAAGATATGCATATCCAGCAAGACATACAAGAAAAGAAGGAGTATTGCAAATATCGGAAATCGTGCTATAAATCCGGAAAACAACCAAAAATCGATCAGTCATTTCAGCATTTACCCGAGAAACTCAGTGAGCAGATTGATCAGGAAATGGAAAAACCTGTTGCAGCGCCTCCAGCAATTTCGAAGAGTGAAGCAGGGAAAAAACTCGAATGTAAGTACCGCAAGTCTTGCTATGAGACCGGAGTTCTACCAGAAATCGTTGTACCACAATACATTTACAACGATCAAGAAATCGTTTTTAAAGCCGGTGTGTCGAAACAACTTCAATGTAAGTACAGAAAGTCCTGTTATGCGGAAACAGGCATTATCCCTGAGGAGGAGGATTTGAAAGATGCTGAAGAGAAACGTGAACCTGCTGTGAAAAAAGTGGCAGGTGAACAGGCTAAGAAGGTATCCTTCTCTGAAGATGACAGTGATGACAAGGATGGAACGAAAAAGTCAATCAGGTCTGCACAGGCCGCCACTGGTCCAGCAGCTCGTTTAGCCGACAAACAAACGCAGGATGTCGAGTGTAAGTCTGGTGGTAAATCATGTTATAGTTCAGCGGAGCCGCAAACAATGAATGAAGATCATGCTGGTAGCATGGCTCGGATAGGATTGGAGCGTTATAGGCAAAATGGATGGTGTAATAAGTACTATTATTCCTGCCGCGAGGTACTTGGTCTACCGCCAAAAGAACGCGCTCCTATCGGACCGAATGGCAAACGTCTTTGCCGCAAGAAACCGCTGTGATTTGCTCCCTATTTACGCCTTCGTAGTGAAAGACGAGCACATTTTTCGCCCTCTGATGATTAGTTCGTTGAATATTTGTTGTCGCTTTGCAGAATTTCACAGAATTTTTGCTCATGCAGAAATAAATATTCCGCTTCAACGAATGCTGTGTTAATCAGTACTAGGCCGTTGAATGTTGCGATAGTTCCGCAACACTAGGTCGAGCTAGGGTAAAAAAAATGAAAAAAACGAGGAATTACTCACATTTGGCTCTACTTCCTTGAGCCATTCATTCGCTACATCATCGTAGTCCAACTTACATGCCGTCGCGAGATCGGCGTGAGCTTCAACCCATTTTCCAAGTAATCTGATAATAACGGAAAACTTAAAACAATCAAATTCAAGCCGAAAAATTATAAAGCTACGAAAATTGGTGCTAAAATCAAGAGTTGACCATAGAAAAACCAAACAGAATCGGGAGGCGACTCATTTCCAAGACATGGAACGAAGAGCCAAATGGTCCTGTGGAAGTGAGCTTGACATGATTCCAGCCGTACTGGACACCCCAAAGTTTGATATTCTCGATTTTTAAGAAGACATACTGCTGGGCAATAACGCGCTGCACGATCTTCCCCTTGGCAGGCAGGTACAGTGACAATGCTGAGCCAGTTTCACATACAACTGCGTGTACCTTACTGCCAGAAATCACCTGTGGGAAAGAAAATTGAAAGTTTCCACGCACCCCCCCCCCCCCCTTGCAAGCAGATACTACTTTGATGTGCCATGGAGGAGTACACGATACAAAATTTACATTGGTAAGCTTTCGCTGTGGTAACGGCCTCCTCAGACCAGACTGGCAATGAGTTACATTGCAGTTCGGTCAGGGACCTTAGCGACTTCATTGTTAAAAAGGAGCTCAGTCTGGTCTGAAGAGGCTGTTCCCATAGCGAAAGCTTATCGATGAAATTTCGTAATCGAGTTTCATTCCAGTATTGTTAAAGAGACATTATAAGCATGGGCTCCGGCTAGTTCGAATTAAATCATGAAAGTATAAATGGTGAACGCTGAAGAAGGCAGAGCAAGCTCCCATGTCCCAGAACTAATCGCTTAAACAGCCCTTCGACTCAGAGCCGAGTCCTGCTCGCAAGGCAAGAACATTCAAGCAACCATGGACACGTTCTCTCGTCAGGGAAAACACAAAAAAAAAAAAAAAATATTCCTACTATTTTTGCTCAGTAAAGGGTAATCTAGGGACAGGGATACCTGTCCCTAGATTACCCTTTCACTGAGCAAAGATAGCAGGAATAGTCTCACAGGTGGGATTTCATTTTCGAGGTATACTTAATGCGATAATGAGAAGGTGATGGGGCTTAATACTAAGCGTTTGTGGCTAACTGATATAGCAGAGTTAAGAATAGCGGAAAGAGAATCATCAGAAGACGACATAATAGAAGCCATCGACTTCTACGCATTTTTGAAAATCTGTGGATGAGTTCTTGTACTGATACGGGACCGATGTGAGCTCTTTTTCCTCATAATGTCTTCTAACAGGTCGCCTGAGCATAGCCATAACTGCATTTATTTAAGGACGCAGGCGACAACAAGCAGCGGCGAAGCTTTACTAGACAGCGGCACCTTTTTTTTACCTTATCTGCATATTTCATTGCCAAACTGATTTTCCACTTTTAGCACTGAATGTGGACGATTGAGAGGATTAAAAACACGACGAAATAAAAAAATTCGCGACATTTCTGGGGATGGGTGTCCTAATTCACGGAAGCTTTTCTTATATCCCGAAAATAGGGTGTGTCTCCTATTATCGTATCTAAACCAGATAGCGCGAAATGGTATGTGTAGGCACTGTGCTAAAAGGTCGACCATTTACGGGCCGCTTAGCGGTTTCCAGTAACTCATCAAGCACCGCCACGTGGCGAACCAGGGACACCCCCTCACGCTGAAGCGGTCCATCTTTCTGACGGCACACCACTACACTTTACATGAATACAGGAAATTAACAGGATAGTCCATGGAGTAACAGTTAGTCAAGGCTATTCTAAGAGGTTCACCTTGATGCATCGTAATTTCAAAATATGACAGAACTACTCACCTGTAGGCTCTTCCTCTGAATTTGTATCCCTGTGCAGAATCAGCATTGATGGAAATGGCTTTGTCACAATCGGCAATGGCTGCCATTGGACGTTTCAGCTTTAGAAGAACACTAGAATGAAATATTCACAGAACCGAACGTTCTTAACAGAAGAAAAATAACATTTCAAACAAGACAGTCAGATAACAAACATTTTAAACTTAAACGAGAAAAAGAAAAACTATTGTAAGACTAATGAATGAGGTCAACAAATGCTTCCGAGATAGCATTCAAAATATAAAGCTCCCACTTTGCTCTCTTAGCGTGGAGGATAGCCAATCCAGGATTCAGTTCAATGGCTTCTGTGAAGTACTTCAAAGCATCATCCATGTTCCCTAGAAAGACATCATGCAGCCATAACAACATCTTCATCACACCTTCCAACTGCGCGTAACTTATAAAACTGGGGCTGCGTAACTGTGCTGTGCTGTTAACTCAACTCATTTTCTGAACACCACCCGTAACATGGTAAGGATTTCGAAGCGGTCACGAACACCATGATGCACTTTATAGATTAACCTATTCCAGCACAAAGAAGCAGGTCAAGCATAATTTCATTACCTCGGCCATTCAGGCAGAAGGCTCGTGATAATATGATGCTCTGCGCCTGATTACTTTCGATACACCAAACAGCACCGTTTACAATTGCAATAAACGCGCCGTCGACGCGCTACAACAGCACTATCACTGCACCGCGCTCCAAATGCTACGAACAAATATCGAATCGGCAGCAGTTCCTGATCGGAGAGTGTACGGAGAATAGAACGTAACGGCGTTATCAATGTGACGCCTTTCCTTTCCTTTCCATAACCTATCGAAAGCAGTAGTTGGCCGGACATATGTAAAGACGGGCGCGTTCCCGTTCTAAAGCAGTGGAGCGGGCGGTGCATGGTAGCGTCATCGACGCGCTTACAGCGGCATCTATACGTGTTTTATGCGCGAAGGTCTGAAACGCTGGCCAAGTGGAAGTGGATAGACTGTGCTCGACTGCGCCTTTCACAAAGATGTTGAAGTCGAAGTCGCCTCGAAAGCGGCCCTATCGGTGCTCAACAAAGCGACAGGACACTGTCTCTGTGATAGCACGCAAGTCAGCAAAATGTGGGGGCGCTCGATTGAAATGGAGACGAATCAACACCTATCGCAAGCCTCTAGGCCTTGCTACGCGCCATTCGAGAGGCGAATGTGGCAAAGTTTGTGTGCACACTTCCACATCTTGAACACGGGAAAGGACCACCTCTCCAAGATCGCTGATTTTCTTTGAAGTAACAGCTTGTATAGGATTAGGATTCGTACAGAACTACCCCGCGCCGCCCCGCGCCGCCCCCCCACCAGTCAAACGTCTTCGTAGCCAGTCCCCTTGATTGTTCTTCCGAAAGAGATTCATGCGATTACGACAGCTTGCAAAAAGTTCTCGATATTCAACGCTAGGCCGGGACACTCCCAGTCAGGTGGAAGGAATAGGAAAATTGGAGGAACTGAAGTCACAAACCGTAGAATCTTATCAAAATAATTGCGCCGAAGGGAAACCTAGCAGCGGGTAAAGAATGAATTCAGATAAATCGCAAATCATAGCATTAAACTTGCATTTTTTCCTTCGAAGCTTTCCAAAAGACCCCAAAATTCCAAAATCAGAAACGCAACCGGAACTTACCCTCGAAGAAAAAGCAGGCCATTGCTTGTTCTACCTCATTTTGCTTTCTCAATGTCGTCGTCCGTGGCCTTAACTGGGAAATATTCACGTGCCAGTTCAGTACCACCTTCAAAAAGGAACAAATACTGACCTCCTTATTTGGATCACCCATTGGAAGAGGAGTCGAGTTATCGTCAGCTTCAATCACGCCCGAATTATCAATGTCTGATGGATATGGAATTGGGGGTTCTTCCTCAATCTGAAGAATGTAGCATTTAGAAGTTAGCCTATCAGGTGCTAAATGGAATGGTTCCGTAAAATAAAAGTGCTAACCACAGTTATGAAAAAGGGTTATACAAGAGAGACTGTGCAGAACTGGGATCACTGCGCTACGAACCCGTCCTGTCCCAAAGAAATCGGCTCATTCACCCGATGCACCCCTTTCCTTCCAAGGCTCAGGCCATACCTCTCAATTTTCTTCACGAGCAATTCCATTCTGCCACAAAGGATTTTGAATGGCTCCCCATAGTCGGGCCTTGGTGAAAATAAACCCCTTATTGAACGTTTAATGCAAAAGTGGGCAAAAACAGTTAGCGTCAACGCACGGAAGATTTCACATATGTTATACCACCATTTTTTACATGAAGCTTGAGCACATAGGGAACTTCTAACGACTTCCAAAGAGTTTTGAATTATGTATGAAATGCTAGGTCAGGGAACTGTAGAAAGAAACCTACATCCATCGGCTCAGGCTCTTTTGGCTCAGATTTCGGAGGCGAACTTGCACTTGTGTCCTTCTTCTTAGGTGGAATTTTGGCACCAAATCTAAACACAAAATCAAATAACACGCTCTTTCTGAGGTAAGGCGTATTTCACCAAACTGCTCCTTTTTTTCTATTTGGTTCTCAAATTTCTCGTTCAGCGTACACAGTTCATTCAAATGGGAAAGTAAAACGAAATTACAAAAGCAAAGACAAGAAAGATCCCCGTATTCAAGAGAAGGTGCACGACCCATACAATGGTGCGCTTATATCCCCAGAAATTAAAAAAAAATGTGATGCATCCAACAAAATTCAGGATGAGACCTGATTCTTGAATGAACATCAGCACTTACTCTTCGAGGAATTCACGGAAGAAACCGAACTTCGGGTCGTGCAGGATGTCTGTGTTCGACCTCACAAGGGTGATAAACTGTTTTAGCAATTGTAGATGTTGCTCCATTACCTAAATAATGGAAAATAAAACCGCTGGGTACGATTACTACTATCTGAACGGAAATGTATCGAACGAATTCCAGCGGCAATGAGTTAATCAACAACAGCAGAATCTAAAGACCCTGAACAAAGAGTGGACGCTAACGTAGTTAAGGTGGGCAGGGTGAACCCATTCGGTCACGCCTCCAAATCCTTTCCCTACAAGGCTTAGGTTCAGAGAACAGACGACCAGAGTCGATTACGGATAGTCCCGCAGAGAAAATCTCTCCTAAGCCGAAGCCTTGATTAGAGGAAGGAGTCACTGACGAGTGGTGCCTTTCCCATCTACGTTAGCGCCTAAGAGTGCCCGCTTGACTTCCTCGTCTCTTGAACTTGCCTTGCACGCCCAGAAGATGACAAGGCGGATTGAGAAATGAGACCTCGCCCATTTTTTTCTTCCTTTTTGACCATCCAAGTCGGACGTTCAAGCTGGTCCGATGTTCTGGCAACTACTACTGTGGTACAAACTGGGTTCCTGATCGGACGAGTACTTCAAAGATATCAAGATGAAACGTGAAGGAAACTATTTCTTATAGAGTGGATTTGCTGAATTCACATCTTTCACACATAACAAACAGTAGGCTATTCAAACTCATGCTTAACTTGCAAATCACGCCCGTGCAAACCAAGTGTTCTGCTGCGGACACGACAGAAAAAGTCTAAAACAGCTGTGTACTGAGTGCACTATGGTAATTTAGGAGAGTGGCAGCGCCAACGTAGGTTATGGTACAATCTCTTGAGTACAGATACTTCTGTAAAACTTACTGAACCACCCAAATTATTATTTTCAAAAATAGACTGAAGTCGACTCCCCGAGCATACACAGAACGTCACTCCAATTTCATAAACTGCAAAACACATGGTTCCGCGAACTTAAGATAGTTGGGGGTGGGGCAGGCAGCGGTCCCACTAAGCGTGCTCATGCGGGAATTCGAGGTAGCGGTCGCTTTTCCCAACAGACTCAACAGAGGGTAAAGCGGGAGACAAGAGCGCGTGCCCCGACCGCCCTAACCCTAAATACCATAGGCTGCGTTCATACTTCGGAAACTAGAAGAACCGGCGTTTGGCGGAATGCAAGGAAAGAATGTTATATGTATCGATTTCGCGTTTTCGGAGGAAAGGCGTTTTGAGTAGGAATGATAGTTGAGGCACTGATCGGCGCCCAAAATCATACCTATACCAATCTTTTCTGCCAAAGCGGCGATCCCTCCTAGTTGCACAGTATGAACGCAGCATCAACCCCAATTCTAGTGCAAATCAAGCGAAAATACGAGAAACCGACGCAGTTTGGCTACGGGGGGCATTTTGCACTTTCGTTGCTTCGTTAGTTCCGGTTTACAAGTCTCACTCTGGTGAAACTTGTGAACTCTTGTGAAGCTGGAGCAAGCCCACCATCCTAAAACGTGTCAACTCGAGAAAAGGCTATCTTGGGTTGACACATCGATGGAAAGCAAAATGCCTCCCCTAACCTCCCCCCCCCCTCCGCCGAAGAACTGCGCCAGCAAACCTTTTGAATTTCTCTGAGGAAATTAACAAAAACGAGCGTTGAGACAGCACTGAATAGAACTAAAAATGAGCATTAACTTCGCCGCATCCGTGGGAACTTGAGCACTGTTGCCAGTGGTGCGCATAAGTGATGACGCTAGATTCCAATAAAGAAGGAACCTGATGGGCGCAGTTCGGCAACGGGGGAGGGGGGGGGGAGGGGGGAATTTCGCACTTTTGCAACTTCCCTTGCACGTGTCCGGCTATCAACTAGAGACCTGTGGAATCTTCTGAAGCCGAAATGAAATGATAACAGCCAAGGTTTGAGACAACCGGTCAACCCTTGTAGTGCCAGCGAAAGTGCAAAGCCCACCCCCCCCTCCTTCCCCGAACGGGGCCAAACTAATGCAAAGTTCCATCTCCCTTTTAAAACTACCTTTTGCGATAGATTAGTAAAATGTTAGAATCACAAAACTTTACAAGCAAGAAAGCCACAAAATTAACCTAAGGGCGAGATGCGGAGCTCTTCTATGCAATATTTGACCGACCTTGTTCCTTGTTGTAACCTCGGCATGATGTCGAATATTTAATTATTTCTGCCAAACGAGGTTGTTAGATGAAACCTTTATTGGCCTGACGTTTCGACCTTCTCGTCTTCTTCAGAAGTCAAAGGTTCTACCGTGCGGAGTTCAGCTCACGCTGTTACTTTAGCAGGAGTAATTAAACATTTGACCTAGCGTCACAAAAACAATTACCAGTAATCCGACACGGCAGCATGAAAGCAATTACAGATTCCTATAAAGAAGCATAGTTGTACACTTTTAGACAGCAGTTGCTAGGCTGTTGCACAGTACGAAGGCGTTGATCGATATCTCTGTCTGACTCATATTGACGAAACCGAAGAACAAGTGATAGGGCAAAAAATGCATGGATACGACAAATGGCGCGATGTTATCCACCTGGTGGATCCCTAGCATCATAGAAAGCTGAAGAAACCACTAGATCTAGAAAATTGGGATAAATTTCTGCCAACCATAAGAAAAAACCAACATATACACCTCACTTGAGGAATTATTTCTCTCAATCTTCTTGCTGCCCCTAGACTGGGCTTCATTCTCTTCAAGGATATCACTAGGCTGCGTTCATACTTCACGTTGCGTTTTGAGCACACCAGTGAGTGTACGCCAGTGTTCAGAGTGCTTGGAAGAAATAGGAAAGTATAGATACACATCGAACGTTCTGAGCGTACGCCAGTGACCACTGGCGTTCCAAGCGCCGTCAGCGTCAGCGACTAGGAAAGTATAGATATCAATCTAGTGACGAAGCGTCTACCAGCGTCTGCCAGCGTCCACCAGCAACCACCAGCGTCCACCAGCGACCAGCGCCTCGAGGGCTAGTGAGTTATAGGTATCGACGTACCAGCAGCGTCTACCAACGTCCACCAGCGACCAGCAGCTCCCGAGAGTGGGGAGACAGGAAGACTGCTGATAGAGTATGGGGCGATAGGAGGGTGACAGAGAGCGGTAGAGTATGGGGAGATAGGATGGAATATCTCTACTCCTGGAGGCTAGTTGTCGCTGATGGACCCTGGCAAAAACTGCTAGCGCTGCTGGTCGCTAGATCAATATCTATACTTTCCTAGTCGCTGACGCTGCCGGACGCTCGGAAGCTAGTGGTTGCTGGTGGACGCGTGCCGCAAACTATGAACGCAGACTGAGCATTTTCGCGAACCAATCTGTGATTTGGCGGGCAGTCCGCCGAAAACGGCTGGCGTACATCCTCATCATGCGGACCGGTGGGGCGTGTCAGCCAGAAGGAGTGCGCACACTGTTGAAGCCGTTCTCAGCCTTTTTGTTGCAACGCGTATGCGACAAAAAGTGGTAGAAAACGAGTAATACGAAGGATATTATACAGTAATGCACTTCGCCGCGATCGATAACCATACTTTTTTTAAACAGCTCAAAACGCTGACGCAATGTATTAACGCGGTCTTACCGCATTTGACCATCCAAAGTTATTTGTGGGAATAATAACTAAGTCAAGTGGACAAATTGATCGGATGAGCTCAGACTGAGTGAGAGCAGCTAATACAACATGCATCACCAACTGCTGGACATGTTGGACATTATGGCACTAAAAAAGTTTAAAAGCTCAAAAATTGAATACTAAGTCATTTTGAAGGCTACCTACAACGGTTCCAAGATTGATTCAAAGAGCTCGAAGAATGCTATGAAGATAATCAGCAATTTTTAGACTAGCGAAGCACTAAACTGAAACAAGTAGAATATCTTTCGTTGTTGCCGGA